CTGCTCTTTCTTCATGAATCCTTCTGTCCTGCAGCATGCATGACAGGCATCTATTTTCAAGAAAGGAGAATAGATATTGAAGCTAGATTTTTCATAGTGGTTAGTTTATTTTAAAACATTTGACTTCATTAGCCTATGGTTAATTTGTATTTCATGTAGCCCTGAATTATTTTTGCAGAGCTATTTTATTCTTTCTAAACTTACCCTCCCCGACCCTGCCCTGCAATTGTCAAGTCGAACTGAAGTTATTTCTTAGGAACTAAGAAAGGAGCTTGAAAATCACACAAATACCCTGAGCCATTCTAAAAATAGGAAGGATGCAATAAAACACAGTAAGTAGAAATGTGAGGAAACTAAGAATCAGACCGAATCTGTGATTTACTGAGGGTCACATGCAAAATCGAAAAAAGTAAGGCCCCCCCTCACTTCTAGTGCAGATGTTTTCCCATGAAAAGAGTGTCTCCTTTTCTACCATTAACACCTTTTAGCTCACTCATAATGACTAGGTACATCCCAGAGACGTGTTCCTTCATTTTCCATTGTGTTTCCAACTTTTGGCTGCTTGTTAGAGTATTTTTATCTTGGTTCTAATTCTGTCAGACTGCTCTTTCTTCATGAATCCTTCTGTCCTGCAGCATGCATGACAGGCATCTATTTTCAAGAAAGGAGAATAGATATTGAAGCTAGATTTTTCATAGTGGTTAGTTTATTTTAAAACATTTGACTTCATTAGCCTATGGTTAATTTGTATTTCATGTAGCCCTGAATTATTTTTGCAGAGCTATTTTATTCTTTCTAAACTTACCCTCCCCGACCCTGCCCTGCAATTGTCAAGTCGAACTGAAGTTATTTCTTAGGAACTAAGAAAGGAGCTTGAAAATCACACAAATACCCTGAGCCATTCTAAAAATAGGAAGGATGCAATCTGTGAATCATCAGTTTATTTTTGAAAATTTTGAAAGATTATAATTTGGATGTATTTTTTTGGCATCAAAAACATGTTTATATCATATGAACAAAGCAAGTAGTATTTAGTGCTTTATACTGGAATTTTGAATTTTTTTGATCCTGTAACATGTTTTGTGAAAGAAGAGTTGCATTTTGAACATATTTGCTCCGAATTTGGGTGTGTAGGACTAGTTATTAAATTACATTCAAATCATCAGGTGTTTGTTTGCTAAATACTTTCTGCATATGGGGTGATGTTCCTAAATCTTAGCCCATTCTTCAGTTGTGCTTTCATGGTGCTTTCTAGGAAGTCGAGTGAATTGATCTTCTCAAAACTGTGGTTATGGGTTATTGTTGTTGTTTATAATCAATATTGATAAGATTATTACTATTTAATTTCTCTAGAAAGGGGATAGCTGCTTCTCAAGGTTGGTCTGTGTGTGCGTTTCCTGTCTTTGGCTGTCATTGTTTTACATCTGTGGGTAGTTCCTTATCTTTGCCACCTTGTCTGCCTCTCTAGTGTGTTTCGTATGTGTTTGTATTTTTACACTCCTCTTATGGGAGGTAGGATTTCCTGAGGCATGCTGTGGAGTTAGTCTCCAGCTGATAGAAGATTGATATTAGAGAACTGAAAAATATAGTTCCTGTCCTTAAGAAATTTCTACTTTACACTGGGGAGAGAAACAAATATAAATATATAACACATACAACTAGGGATAAATAACATTTTAGTATATTTAGCATGTGATTGCTAAATGAGTAACAGTTGGTATTTTGGCATTCAGAGTAAGTAGAAACACTTTAGGTTGAGTTAAGAAGGATTTTGTAGTACTGGTGAACTTTTAGCTAGATCTTAAAGCATGGGTATTATCTAGATAACTCAAGAAAATGATGTAGGATTCTTGGGAAGAGTAGCAACTCTTTTAGCAGCTGTATTGTGGAGAAAATATTTTGCTTATTAAAATATTGTTGAGTCTAGGGATGCTATAAAATGCACTGTGTAATTCACATGTTCAAATGTCTGCATGTGAAACAACAATAGAATGTATGTCATTTTTATGGAAATTATTTAGTTTTATGAACTTAAGAATATGTTCGTGAAATCATATATTTGCTTTTATTTCTGATACACTGAATGTCAATATTTTTTACAAGATGAAGTTGGCATCTAAGAATAAAACTCTTACATGCTGTTTCTCCTGTGAGAAGTAAGAAATTTTCCCATTCTTGCCATCTTTGTTCAGGAGTCAGTTAACTGTTGAACCAAGTGTTTCCTATCATGCTCCATGTCAGACACAGAGGAAGTTATTATAGTTGCAGATTAGAGGTAATGGAAAACAGGAAGACAGTGGCAGGATAAACAGTGAAGAGGTGGATGTGAAGGGCGATTTTCAAGGTAGGCTTTATTAGCTAGTGGAATCTTGTCCTTGGCCTCCCTTTAATCAAAGGTAATTCTGAGATTTTGAGTCTTGGTGACTGAGAAGACTGTGCAGTTAACAGAGATGAAGAATATATGTTTGAGTTACATTTTCAGTATATTTAATTTCAAGTTTTAGCAGCATGTTCAGGGGTAGCGGTCTAGGCACATTAGAAAAACAGGATTAGAATTTTGAAGAGAGATGAGTGTTGAGGATAAAATCTAGGAGTTCACATAGAGGTAGTAATTTATATTGCCAGGGGAAGAGAGGAAAAGAACAACTAAGAAAGTCCTAGTTGTCCTGGGAACAGTTTAAATTTCTTCTGTTTAGAGACTTTGTAGTTAAGTCCTGAATGATGTTTTTTGTCATTCTCTAATTTTTGCACCTGTTGCTTAATGGCTCTAGTCATTGGTGCCAATAACAAAGTAGGCAAGTATTAAAAAAGAATTTGAGAGTTTAAGTCCAAGCTAAATGTTTTCATGTTTAGTAAAGTTAAAATTGACAGTACATTATTCTCAGTCCTTTTTATCCTTCACATCAGATCTATATAGTAAGTGTGGAATTTTTTTTCTCTTAATATCCGGCTTTTGCAGGATGGTTCAAGAATTACGCCTTTTGTTGGTTATTTCTCTGATATCAGGATCTTTCACTGTGTTCAGAGGAAAGGAAATGAGTTTAGAACTTAACTATGTTCTTATCTTCCTGTGATATGGCACAGAGTGATTAAGAGCACTGGTCTGTCCTATTGAATCTTTACACAAACATAAAACTATAAATATTTATGTTTAAGGGTTTTTACCACTCTTTTGATTTCTATTTCAACAGATCTCTTTTGGCTATTCACCTAATTTAGAGTAATAAATAGTGAACCTAGACTTTGAAATGTAAAAGATGTCTTTAACTGTCAATTTATAAACATTTATAAAATATAGCCTTTTGTATGAGAGATATGGTGACATGATCATAGGTTCTCCAGTATCAGGAAGCCTCATTCTGGCTTAATCTTATTTTAAGTACTGATTAACAGTGGAAATTAAAAGAATGTTAAGGTGTTCTCCCCACAGTATGTATATTCAATTTGATGTCAGTTGTCATGGTTAATCATGGGCTTCCCAGGTGCTGCTAGTGGTAAAGAACCCACCTGGCCAATGCAGGAGACAAGAGACACAGGTTTGATCCCTGAATCTGGAAGGTCCCCTGGAGGAGGGCAATAGCAACCCACTCCAGTATTCTTGCCTGTAGAATCCCATAGACAGAGGAGCCTGGCAAGCTATGGTCCATTGGTCTGACAAAGAGTCAGACACAGCTGAAGTGACTTAGCACGGACACATTGTTAACAGCATGGGTGTGTGTGTGTGTGTGTGTGTAAAATCTAATAAGTTATTCTGCAAGTTTATCATTTGACGCTTGCATTTCTTTGAAATTTTCTATGCTGACACTTACTAGTCTTATGGGCCAGCCATCATTTTGATCACTTAATATGTAGCAGTTAATTTGTATCTTATAACAACCCTAATAGGTTGTCTTATAACAACGCTATTAGGTTGGAACTGTTAACCCCTGTTTAAAGAATAGAAGCTGAAACACATAGCTAGTGAAGCCAGAATTTGAACCTTGACAGTCTGCCAGTATACTCATCCTCTTAACTATTGTACAGTATCTATTTCTCTAAGTCTCAGTTTCCTCACCTAAAGGGCAGTAATAAAAAGATTGTTTTTTAGGGTTACTGATTGGTAGGACTAAATAAAGTAATGCTTGTGAAGAGACTGATTCAGGATCCTAGATATTAATGATAATACTTATTTGGCTACTTTTTGGGGGTCCTTCTGTTTCTTTTTTCTTTGTCTCCGTTATAGTTTTTATTTTTCCTCTGCCCATTTCTTTTAACTGGTGTTTCAAGGTTCCATTCTTGACCTGCTGTTGTATGTCATTCCGTATAATTCCCCTTCAGGAGGTTCATCCACTTCCCTAGTTTTTAACCACTGCCTACTTCCTATAGGTCAGTGATCCAATTCTGTACTTTCCTCCCGAGTTGTAAGCTGATGTATCCAAATGTCTGCTGTACATCCTCCTTTGCCTCCCACCACATGTCCCTCCAGCTTGATGTGGATAAAACTAGAAAAGGTTTTAATCGGAGTTGAAACTAAAGGATACGAAATGGAGAAGCTCGCACTTTAGCTCTCAGAACAGTGAAACTTCAAGACTAAGAGACTGATATTCCATAAATGCCTGATGTATAAAAGATTGAAACTTAACCTCTGGCCAATGAATTGCTCCCCATCTTTGAGCCAGTTAACTCTGCATGGCCGCTAATTGGGCTCTCCCCTTTTATACTCCTTGCCCGTGAATGCAACCCATTCTTAACCTTCTTCAGTGGACTCACCTATAGCTCACTGCAGCTGCATGTCCTGAATTACAGTATCTCTGCTACTCCAGAATAAACTTGATTTTTGGTATCTTGTGAAGAAGGAATTGGCAATCCAGTCCAGTGTTCTTGCCTGGAGAATTCTATGGATGGGGAAGCCTGGCAGGCTACAATCCATGGGATCACAAAGAATCAGACCTGACTGAACGACTAACATAAACATATGTTTGGTATCTTGAGTTTGCCTCAGCTTACCTCTTTTCTTTTAGGTTGACCTTACATGGTATCATAAGTGGGATCTGAAGGCACCAACCACTTGAACCTCTGGAATCAAGTGAGTTTCTTGTAGTTGAGTCCTTTGCACTGTTAACTTCTGTGAGCCATTCTATCTTTGGTAAGTCTCCTCAGAGCTCAAGCTGCCTTCTTTTGTTTGAGCTCTCCTACTTTATTCAGGATCTAGATAGAGACAGATTGCCCTTCTGGTAAGTACTCTTGTTTCTGATAATTGTATCCAGTCATCTGAATGTACTAAAGTACCCCCCACAACCACCACCTTGAGTGATCCTAGCTGGTTTTATGTTAAAAAAATGTATGGCCTTTCCCCCTGTGCATGTTTGACTAAACAGACCAGTCTTACTTAGGATAACACAGAACTCCAATGGCCATTGTGTGGAAACTTTGATCTCTCCAAACTTGTTTTCTTTGAACTAAGTTAGAAGACCATGGCTACCATATTAAGCAATCTGAGTAGGATAGTTATTTTAATAGGTATCTAGAGGCTACTAAATGTTCAGGGTTCTAAAATTGCCTCCTTACTGTTTCTAAATTTCTGAGGCAAATAAACAACCAAAGATGGATTAAAAAACCCCAGGTCCCTTCCTCAGTGCCCACTAAGGGCCTTTCTAACCCCGCTGTTCCACCTCCTCCTCATCTCCCTTTTCCCTTCCTGAGTCTCTTCTCTGGATTTACTTTCCTTACCAAACGGAACCTATTAAGACCTTCTTTTTCAAAATTAGACCTTTTTAGGATCCTACTAAAAACTGCCCTGGGTTTCCTACACCCCATGGACAAAGGGCAACATAATGGCTATAATAAAGGATTTCCCCTCAGTAACTGAAGGTCCCAATATATTTGCTGAAGAATTCAGTGCTGTAACCCAAACCCACCAACCTCATCTTTCTCATCTCTCTTAATAGTTTACTTGCTTGTTGGAGAAGGTCAAGTCCCACAGTGGATTGAAACTGCAGCTTGGGAAAACCCTGAACAATTTCTAGGGTTTCAGTTAAACCAACCATTAGTCCTTTTATATGGTTAACCTCATGGCAGAGCCAAACGGCTACACAAAGCCATCCTTGGAGCCTTTCCAAAACCTGTGGACTAGAATTAAAGTCAGGTATGCATCCAAAAGCCTGCTGAATCCTTCCGTGACTATTACAACAAACTCCAAACCGTTTCCAAAGGAAATTCTGGACTCCCTGTAGATGTTGAGTCCTCCCAGGCGGCTTTTAATTCCATATGTGTAAATGGCCTACATAAGGACTTATCCTTGTTGGTCAAAAGAACCTGTATCAAAGGGGAGAGAGTGTTCACCCCTGACCTTGTCAATCTGGCTATGTATAGCTCACACCATATAAGATGACTCCAGAAAGAAAGAAAAAAATGGTAACTAAGATTTTGAATCTACAGCACCAATACATGGAAACTCCAAAGCAAATCCATCCTACAAGAAGGTGTCCTTATTATAGAAAACCTGATCAAGGGAAAGGATTGCTACAAATTGAACTCCAAATAGTTACAACCTTCTCAGAACCATGGCCAAATCCAGGCCAATGATGGGGCATCAAGGACACAAAGGAACTGTTCCTCTTCTGCCATTAAATAGGTGGAAACTACTCTCCAGATCAGGGACAAATTCCTTACAGTGTCAACTGACACAGGGGCTGCTCCTGTCAGTGCTCCATCCCACTGCAATTAAACAGTCCCTTCCCTGGAGTAGTAGATTTATTCAAATAGTGGGAGTCTTAAGTAAACTGCAATGTGTCCCTATTTCTCAGCCCATATTTTTTGGTCTGGACCTTTTGTAAGGCAAATGTCTGCTGCTTCTCAGTGATTTGGGTCCCAAACATTTATTGGGATGAGATTTTCTGGAGAAACACAATGCTGCCATTGTTTTCTCTCAAAAGGCGGAAGTAAAAAAAAAAAAAAAGTGGAAGTATCTCTTGAGTTTAAGTTCAACACTCAGGGAAATTCAGCCCCCATTGCCATTATTTGTACTCTACAAACCAAGGCAGTCCAAACTTTGCACTCATCTGCTCTACTAAACATGGAATTCCCTGATCTTTGGGTAAAATCCTTAACTGAAATAGGCACAATTCATAGTGCCCCTCCCATTATGATCCAGGTGGACACCACAAAACCTCTACTAAGAATAAACAAATACCCTATAAATAAAGAAGCTTACAGGGCATAAGGCAAATTATAGAGGACTATAAAGCCCAGGCACTTAGAATCCTTTGTACTATCCTTGTGTTAATAATACCCTTATTTTGCCTGTAAAAAAAAACACCAGTGGCTGAGAATGGAGATTTGTCCAAGACCACAGGGCAATAAATAACATTGTAATTCTCTGCCATCTTGTCGTTTCTAATCCCTGCATGCTGTTAGTATCCATCCATGCTGGAAGCACCTTTTACATTTTAATCACTTTAGGCAGTGAGTTTTCAGTATCCCTGTTGAAAGGGATAGCCAGTGTCTCTTTGCCTTTACCTGAGAAGGACAGCAGTACATGTGGACAGTCATGCCTCAAGGCTCTACTGAGGCCTTCTTACTTCTCACAAGTTTGACAGGCTGATTTAAATGACATAAAGCTCTCTAGGGGCTCCACCTTACTACTACATTTGGGTGAGCTTCTTTTTTGTTTGCCCTCCTAATACTTCTTTCAAAAAGAAGCATTTGCTGAAAATCTCAGCCCTTAAGGGACACACAGTCTGGAAGGGGAAATTACAGTTTGTCCAAACTCAGGTTCAATCTTGAGGACATTTAATCTCAAAACAGGTGCTACACCTAGATGCTGATAGGCTTCAAGGTATTTTAAACTTTTCAAACCATAAAAGCAAATGTTTCTTGGTTTTGGTTTTTTGGCCATGCCATGCAGTTTGTGGGATATCAGTTCCCCGACCAGGGGCTGAACCTGGACCTTGGCAGGGAAAGCCCAGAATCCTAACCCCGAGGCCACCAGGAAACTCCTGAAAGCAAATGTTAATTGTGAGGTTTTCTTGGGCTAGCTAGCCATTGTCATAATTGGATCCCAAATTTCTTTTTGTTGGTTCAGCCCCTATATACCCTGCTAAAGAACACCAGCCTGACCCCATAGTTTGGGATGATCAAGATGGCTTGGCCTTTAAGAACTTGAAGGAAAGCTTAATAAGTCTACCTGCCCTTGGACACCTAAATTGTCGGCTACCCTTTTCCCTTTTTGTATATGAGAAGGAAGGGAATACCCTCAGATTACTTACCCAAAACCATGGGGCTATCAGCAACCTCTAGGTTGAGCAGCCAACAGTTAGATTCAGTGACCTGAGAATACCTCCCTCCCTCCCATGCCCTAGAGCTATGCTTGCTTCCACTCCTTTAGCAAAGGCTACTGAAGAAATCGTTATAGAATCCTGTTTAATCATCTTTGTATCTTAGCCTGTTGAGACTCTCTTAAATTTCATGCCACACTCAACATCTTTCAGCGAGCCATCCTACCACCTATGAAATCCTCTTACTTACCTCCCCTCATCACTCTTATTCCCTCTAACAGTCTCAACCCTGCTGTCCTTCCCTCTTGCACTAATGAAATTCCCCATGTCTCTTTGACTTTTATGGATCACCTCTTGACCCCTCATGATGACTTACAAGAAACCTCCTTGGTGAATGCTAATCTGGTTTATTGATGGCTATTGCCTAAAAAATGAGAAGGGCAAATTTTGTGCCAGGTATGCAGTGTCAGCCATTTTCCAGGTCAGTGGGGCTGCACTCTTGCATTCAGCCATTTCAGTCCAACAAGCTGAATTATATGCTGTCACTCAGTGTGTTTTAGCCAAAGGCAAGATGGCCAGCATCTATACCGATAGTTGGTAGGTCTTTGGGATAGCCCATGACTTTGTAATATTATGGAACAATGGAGTTTCCTTTCTTCTAATGGAAATAAAATTAAGAATGGCTCTTATGTCCAGAATTTGTTGGCTGCCAGACTCCTGCCAGCACCTCTAGCTGTCATTAAAGTCCCTGAGCATTCCAAGTCTGATTTCTTGAAGCCAAAGGAAATGACCTCACCAATATTCTTGCAAAAAAAAAAAAAAATGCCACCCTTCTGGAGATATATAAACCAAATCTCTATCATGGTCCAGAAGGCTACTCCCCCTGTGAAGACCTAAGGGCACTAGTCAGGAAAGTACAGCAGTTGGCCTCTGAAAGGAAAACAGAATTGGAAATCTAGAGGCTATTGGTTCCGTCAATTAAAGGGACTTTGGTTTGGACCCAGTAATAAGTTGGTCCTGCCAAGAAAATCTAAGATTTCCCTTATTAGACACCATACATGAATTAAACCATTGGTTCAATGAGAAAACAGTAACATTTATGAAAGAATATTGGTGAAGGAACATTGGCAAGGCTACAGAAAGCACATGTCTTGTTTGTTCTACCTGCCCTAAATTCAACTCAGAGAAGACTCTATCTACGCTGCTGGGGACACATTGATTTACCTAAAAGACTGTCTGAGGTCTGGCAGATGGATTTCATACAATAGTGCCTGTCTCGTGGATACAAATATATTAGTCTTGCAGGTTTGGAGGTTTTCACAGGGACTAAAGCATTTCCATGTAGAGAGGCAACTTCCTCTTCTATAGCTAACGTTCTTTTAAGAAAGATTATTTCCATTTGAGGAGCCTCCCTGGAACTCCATGGTGAACCCACTTTACAGAACAAGTACTTTGACAGATCTGTGCCTTTTGGCCAGTTCTGCAACATTTTCATTCTGCTTATCATCCTCACTCTTCAGGACTAGTTGAACCTTCAAATGGAATTATGAAGATCCATTGGCTAAATTAGTTAAAAACCTCCAGATACCTCAGCCAAAACTTTTTCTGCTGGTTCTTCTAAATCTTAGACCCGTTCCATTCAGGATTCATAAACTCTTACCTTTTGAAATAATTACAGGACAGTCCCTGCTTCCTTTGACCTATAAATAATAAAAAGGGGATATATTTCAGTTTTGCAAAGGTGTAATTAAGTCCACTGAGAATAATAATGCTTTGGAAAAATAATCTTTCCATGGCATGCTCCCAGGAG